TCTCCAAGTCACCTGTGCACATGTAAGAAGAATGAGTCATAAAGGAGCTGGTATGGATGCTTGCTTGGTTTCCTTCTTAATGACAAACAAACTGTTCTGAAATGCAGATGAGCTTTTGGGGGAACCTGCACACCCTGAGCCTTGGCCTTTTCCTCTGCTGGGGTCCCACCTTCTTGGCAGAGCTCGTGTAGCTTCTCTTGTGCTGATGTGGCTGCTCCTTGGTTCAGTTGTGCTTTGTCCAAGTAGTGCTTTGCTTGAAACGATTAAGTACAGTGAGGATTACAGTAAGATGCCCTGTAGCAACTGTTTTTTAATAACATGGTGTGTGTGTCTTGCAGAAATGCTGCTCATGGATTCTCACTTATTCAGGTGGACAGTATGAAGGTCACCATGAAGGATATCTTACAAAAGGCCTTAAAGCGGAGGAAGGGCTCGCAGAGGGGCTCAGGTGGGTTACAGCGACGCTCTCTGTAAAAAGGAGCTTTTCCATAAATACCATTTTTAACTTAAACCTGTTTTAGCGACTGTCATAAAAAATGCTAATTTTTTCCAGTGGGTGTTGTGATTTTCAGTACAGTGCCAAAGCTGCTCTGCACGTACAGCAAAAGCAACCTTTTCTGTTTCAGGTGCTAGAGGAAAACTCAGACAGTGAGTGAGGAAGCTACATAATATCTGCTGCAAGCAGCATTTTAGTGACTATCAGGAATGTTTGTTTTCATGACAAAACCACTCGCCACAAAGACTAGCCAGTTACAGTCTAAAGTGAGCTAGAATCACGATCAGACACTTGCTTGCAAGACTTTGTACATTTTTAATTTGTCAGAACAAAGTATTTAGTATGATTTAAAACAGCTTTGAAAGCAAATTATACTTGGGTTGAAACATTAAAAAAAATTTGTTTTCTCCAGTGTGGTCAAGTACTGGTGCCCTTACAGATAGCTTAGATATATGGACATCAAACAAAAAGAAAATATGCAGTGCTTTTTTTAAATTTCTCCAAAAATGGTTTTTCCTGGCTCTCTCCCTCTCTCTCTCTCTCTCTCTCTGTGTGTGTGTGTGTGTGTAAGTATAAGTATATGTATTAGTAGATATATTTTAAAAGTACAAGGCTTAGAAATCTTCCCAGCAACAAGAAATAATTATTGTGAGAAATTGCACTGAGTCTTGTCACGCCACAAAGAACTTTAATATAAACCTATCTATAGACTAGGTAGAGATAAGCATCTTGTCTTTGTAAATGAATGAAACCTCCTTATATATCCTTAGTTTTAACTATGTGAAAAGAAAATAAACCCCGTTGTGTTTAGAAAAAGTAGTTCAGTGCCATTTTTTAAACGAGTATATAATCTGTCATGGATTTAATTAGCTATCTTCAGATGAAAGCTGAAGTTTTAATAAAAGTTAGAAGAGATAACACAGTGAAGGACACGGATGAGCTGTCTCAAGGCCATATTCCAAGGGAACGATAAGAGCTGTAAAAAATGGCAGAGGAGAGCAATTGAATGAAGCAATGAAAATCTGATTCTCGTAAAAAAAAAAAAAAAAAAAAAAAAAAGGAGAAAAAGGGGAGAGAGAGAGATGCTCGTAGGGGCGGTTGTAGATGAGACCTGCTAGCGTCTGCAAGCAATTTGGCTGCTTGCCAGAAGTCATTGTTCACCCTCGGCTGTGGCAGCTCGGTCCAGATGTGCCAACTGCACGTTTCGGCTTTTGCCAGCTGACTGCGCCGTTTGATAACCAGCCCTCTGGATGCCCATCACTGGCCGCAGAGATAGAATTAAATGATGATGATCTTCCCACAAGTTGGGAGAGGAAACAATGCATATAAATCTTGATTTCATCTCAGCGTGAGAAGTCTTTATCCATCATCACTCATAATGAACAAGTCGTTAGCTGCGATGAATGGTGTTCTGTTTTTTTCAAACACCTCTTTTGTTCACTTTTTGGGTGACTTTTATATATTTCCTGGGGGTCAAATTTCTCTCCTCGTAGGGGGATGGCTAAAGGGTTCACTTAGCTGAATCTTTAAACTCCTTTCCTCCCTAGTGTAACAAAAGCTGCTCTTTTGTCTATTTGAAATCCATTGTTGGTTTATTTCTGCTGCTTATGTTCAGTGGTTGTACAAAGGGAATTAAATAGGTCAGGCTGATTTCTCTTCAGCAAAGCACACTGTCTTGATATACCTGCACATAAATTGTTGTGAGCGCTTGTTGTAATATTCTGCTGCAACAGATATAGTAAACCTGTATTTAAACTTATTTATATTTAAACTAAATGTATTTTGTTTTTCTATATTAATTCTGTCCGTGTAAACCTTCCACCCTTCAAAAAGGGCTCATCATTCAATGCATAATATATATCAGCTAACCTGACAATATTAGGTCTTATTCTGGAAATATTTATACATGTTCTTAATTTTCAGCATGTAAAACGTTTCACTGAAGTCAGTTGAATGGCTCACATTCCTAAAGTTAGGTGTGTGCATAAATATTTCCAGAATCAGGGCCTCAGAGCATAGGCCACCCGAGTCAGATGCAGATCTCAGTGAGTAAATGAAATGATTTATTTTTGATTTATTCTTAAGAAAAAAAAGTAAAAAAACTCATCCTAGGGTTTGGCTCATTGTACCCTACAGTTTCTTCACCAAAGCATCTTCTAAAATATTTTAATATGTATACATATGCTAAATAATAAATTGCACTTATTTTTATTAAATATAATTATTTTGCTTCCACCCCTGGAAATGCTATGACTCTGTGGCCAACACATTTCTCTTAATCTTGCCTATCATCTTTAAAACAGCCTTGTAATGCAGAATCACAGGTGTCTGCTTAGGAGCCACTTGCTTGCAGTGCCCTCTGGATCAGAACAAGCCATTGGCGGTATCCTGTATCGCAGGTGGCAGAAAGGACAGAGAAGAAGAAAGACGAAGGGACAGTAGGACTCGGACTGCCACCCCATTGGGAGTGGATTGACTAATGCTGAAATACAAAAAGATTTTGAACTTGCTGTTCCTCTCGCATGAGGTTTTTCAGCTTCAGAGTAAATGCACAGGATCATGGACAATGAGGGTGTGAAGCGACCTCAGGAGGTCCCACCTAGTCCAACCCCTGCTCAAAGCAGGGCCGTCCCCAGACCTGCATTTCATACATTCAGAGATGCTGAAAATAAATAGAATTTGAGTTCATAACCTACTAGCACAGTAAGGGCCTGTATCTGTTTATTTTTCTTACACTGTAGATAATGATGCCATTTTGCAGTCAAAGGTGGTGGTAGAATTTAATTTTGAAAACAAAATTTCCTTGATTCAACAAGCATTGCTTTTCAATTTTACTTTTCTAGATTTTTAAAATGTTGTTTGGGTTTTTTTTAAATATTACCTTCAAAATAGATGGCAAGGGTTGGCTTACTGTACTTGGAATTATTTCAGAAAACTAAAATTCCATGTGAACTTTTCCATTTTCTATCTGCATACAAAGCAACCTGAATGGAACTATGGACTCAATCCATCTGCTTATTGCTAAGGTTCAGTTTATTCTTTAGCAATTTATAATTTTTTTTGACCTTCCATCTCGTTATTCTCCTGCATGACATTTTAAATTGGCTCATTTGGGAAGACGTAGAAAGTTAGGTTGGTTGCTCTGGGTGAGAGAAAGTGCTGCATGTTTGTCATGTGACCAGACAGGGAAATTCCATCCGTGGGCTAATTTTCCATAATTATTTCATTTTGATTGGTAATTGAGAATCCTTTCATGTCCCATGTAGTAGGCATATTCTTGGACTTTACCTAGTTACAGATATTAGTCAGGAAGGTTTTAGAGGTCCAAGGTGTTAGTTCATCAGAATCTATCTACCTAGGTCCCCTATGTGAATCAGCGACCTTCTGAACATCTCTATTTTTTACTTTTGTTTAAAAATGCCATTACCAACCTTGTCACCACCAACCTTTACCGACCTCCTGAAGCATGAGGTTGGTAATGACAGAAGGAGTTTGTAGTGACAAATGGTGGCTCAGATTTCAGCTTTATGAAAGTTCTGTTTTAATATATACACTGATATTAAAACAGAAGTATGCTAGATGAATTGCATCTATAGAAATGTTGTTATGAACCACACTTATTTCAGATTACATTTGTTAATAAAACTAAAGCTGAATAAGACTTTTTGTCCTGAAATTTACTTGAGATATGTTAATGTATGAAAGTATAGATCAGTAAATAGATATGCAAGTAGGTAA